TTTACAGTATTGTAAAATTCCTGGAAAAGAAGCGAGAGTGGCTGAGGCACGTAAAATCATGCTCTTTTACTGCTTTCTCTATGAAGAGAGGTCTGGTTTCTTGGTTCTAGTCTTCTGTGATTTTAAGTCAAGAAATATCAAATATAAACTATCACAATGCATAAGTCACAAGTGCAGCATTCCGGGAGGAGACAGACGTGTAGACACTAAGCAGAAGGTGGGTGGAGGAAACAGATGTGTAAACAATAAACAGGAAGAGGGAGGAGTCTGGGTGGAAGCAGGACAAATGACCTAAGATGACCAGGGAGGTTAGAGGAGCCTCACGAAAGCTTGTATTGGACTTAGGACACATTTAAGAAACCAGTTTTGGGGGACTATTAAGGAGGGAATCTAGGCAGAAGCAATAGCCTGGGAAGCAATGAGAAGGCAAATGGTGTACAGATGAGGAGACAAAGAGAGGAGGTTGGAGGGAGTTTTGAGGGCAGTGTATAGAGGAAGGTGATGCTCTCTTCTTACTACTGATGGACCTTAGAAAAAGACATCTTTCGAAACCACGGGCCATTCTCCTGTTTCTTTCCTTTAGATCTTTACAATGCTTGAGTAGCTGTCTTATCAGGTGTTCTCTTTTAAGACAATCCTTTAACTCACCCAATTATTGTAGTCTAGGCCATGTAGAAATAGGTCCTCACTATAAACTAGCAATTAAAGTTGGAAACATAGAGTTGGAATCACGGAAGCTGCCTAATTCAACTTTGTATTAGTTTCTTGTTGCTGATATAATAAGCTACTTAATGTCTTAAAACTGCTAGAATACACTCTTACAGTTCTGCAGGTCACATGTCCAGGAGCATTTTACTGGGATGAAATCAAGTTGTCCACTAGACTGGTTCTTTCTGGAGGATCTGATGGGAGAATCCTTGCCTTTTTCAGCTCTTGAGTATGTATGACTACACTGATCTTCTCCATTAATCTAGAATATTTTCTCAAGTCAATTTTCTTAACCTAAATATATTTGTGAAGTTCTTTCTGCCATATAAAATAATATAATAAATATAATATAATATTCATAGGTTATGGGGTTAGAAAGCAGACTTATTTTGTGGTGGTATTATTTAACATGCACAGATTTCTACATTTTACATAGAAGTGTTTGTGTTAGCTGAGTCTGAAGCCACAGTAACAGAGCTGGCTAATATACTATTGTCTACCAGTTTTCTTGCAAATGCACCATGATGCCAGTGTTTAGTATTTTCATGAGGAATTAGTGCTCTTTAAAGAAAGCAAGAGCTGCTGTCAATGGGGTCTGGGACTCAGCAGAAGTATTCGCAGGGGTACCTACCAGCAGAGAAGGCTCTTCAGTAGGAAAAGACCATCTGAAGAGAGAAATGAAGGGCATGAAGGGTTCTTCTTCATTGAATGGTGAAGACATTGAACAAAAGAGAAGAACATGAGAAAACACCATTGGGAAAGAATTCAGAGAAGTAAAGGAAATGTTATAGTCAAGGTGAAGTTAAAGAGAAAGAAGAAACACCATTATATCTAGTTTATAATGATATCCAACAGGGATATGTGTTAGGCATACATGTATGTTTTCAAATAAGCTATTCCTGAGCACTTTCTCTTCATTAATGTGGACATTACAGTTTGTCTATCTATACCACGTTGTTTTTAATACAACTGATCAAATACATGGCTTTTATTTGTTGATCCTCTCCCACTGTCTTGTCAGTGTTTTTATTAGTGTGAAGAGATACCTTGACCAAGGCAACATTTACAAGGAAAACATTTAATTAGAGTGGTTTGCTTGTAGTTTCAGAGCTTCAGTCCATTATCATCATGACAGGGAGCATGGTGGTATGCAGGCAGATGTGGTGCTGGAAATAGTGCTACATCTTACAGGTAACAGTAAGTAGACTATCACACTGAGGGAAGCTTGAGCAAATGAGACTGCCCCCACAGTGACACATTTCCTCCAAAAAAGCCACACCTCAAAATAGTGCCACTTTTTGGGGGGCTATTTTCTTTTAAACCACCACACCCACTAAATTCTACTCTTCAGAGTAGCAATAGTTTATAATTCTTTGTATACCACATAGCACTAATAGTTGTAGTTGCTTTATAAAGCTTTAATCATTTTAAAGCTAGTATGTAGGATTTATACTACTGTTATTAGCATTTTAAAAGGTTCTTGGGAAAAAACTCAATCTAATTTTGTACTTTAACTGAAAGAAAAGCTTCAGGCTAATATAAAGATGACAGTGATTTTTAAACTAATAAGGAAAGTGAGGATAACTAAGAAATAGCAAAGGCATACTGATATAAAGCTGGAAAGCAATGCAAGAGAATAAATAGACTGTTTAGAAGAGAAAGAAAGGCTTTACAAATTATTCTTAGCTACAAATGAAATGAGAAGAGAAAATAAGATGATTCCCTATTATTATATAAGAAAGCATTTCTGATTAGTGATACTAAAATAGAAACAAAAAATAGGTTCCACCTCTACAGAAAAGTAATTTATAAAGATTTGGACAACATTAATAAGGGAAAGGGGAAATTGAGTTGAAAAATGCCGGCCATTACCAGTATATTTGTGAAGAAATATTGAATTATGCTCTGCTTCTATGTCTTATAATTTCCCCAATCACCTTGCATAGAGATATGTTTTATGCTACAATTTATAGCAAGGTTACAATCTTTCTTTTTTACTGTCTTGATAATTCCTTCTATTCTCTGAGATTCAGGATTAAGCACATTTTAAGAACTTAAAAACTGTTTACAGGCATGAGGAGCAATCATTTTAATACCTGTTAGCTGACTTAATATACAATAAGCGCTTGGTAAAATTACAACAGTAACTGTTAATATTAATCTTGTTGAACATGTTTTACTATGTCCTTGTCAACAATCTCCAATATTTAATTTTTATTTCTGTATATAATTATTGTTCAAATGTGTGACCTTTATTGATTCGTCCTCCTCTCCATTAGATTCTACTCTGTAGAGTAGCAATGGTTTCTGTCTCATTCTTTGTCACACAGTGGGGAAGAATTATGGGGATACAGTAAATAAGAAGGAATTATGACCTTTCTATAAATTGCAGAATAGCTATTTAAATAAGTCTCTGAACATTTATTTTGGTTCCACATAAAATCTGTGATTACTATGCATCTCACCAAAGGCAGATAAATAAGGTTTGCTTTTAAGTCGTATTGAATGGGGAAGCATTAAGTAGGTAGGTTTCAAGAAGATAGGGTGGTACTGTGTTAAACATGGACAGACGGGAATTTTGTCTTCATCACCATTTGTGACAAAAATGAATGATACCTAAGAATTTTCATTTCTTGCTGTTTAGCAATCTCACCCAAAGTAACTGACTTCAGTCCTGATGATTGTATAGTAAGAGTCATCTGCAGACAATCATGGTGCTTCTGCACAGGCTGTGTGTTAAACATTAATTGACAACAGATACTCACCAGACATCCCAAGAAAGTTTCCAATGTGAAATAAGCATACAACTAGACAAAACAAAAGAAACAACTAAACCTAACCCTTATAAATTTATATCATTTGGGAAATGACTTCATTTTACTACTCTTTTCCATTCATTCACAATTGAAATTGGCTAAACCATCTGCTTATCCTGTTCAGTTCTTACATATGAGTGCATGCATGTGTGTATGTACATGCACACATACACACACATATATTTAAGGTGCAAGCTCTGTTATTTTATCTTTTATGGAAATCTCTGTATTGTTTTATGCCCAAGACTGTACCTTGATAACCCACCTCTTCCGTGATAACCCACTTCTTCCATAATAACCCACTTCATGCCCCAGTGTCTGCCTCTGCCAGGTAAGCTACTTCCAGGCTTTCTTAACAATGAAGAAGCATTCTTCCAGTCCACTGGGATGTTGAGTGAAACTTCTGGTAATGTCTGTATTCACAGTATCTCCTTAAAACATTTTTACATCCATTTTTGAATAAAAAATCTCAGAGTGATTAAACAAAGCCTTGATGGGGGAAGTCCTGTGTATGTGTCAATAAAGCACTATTGGCCAATAGGGAAGCAAGATAGGTGGGACTAGGAGTCGAGGAGGACTCTGGGTAGGAGAAACACAAAGAGTCAATATGTAACTGCCATAGGGATAAGAAAGTTCTCTGGTAAGAGAAATACTTAGATTAACAATTATCGGATAAATACTTAAGTCAGAGCTAGACAGTAAGAAACAAGCAAGGCCAACAACTTCATAATTAATATCGACTCCTGTGTGTTCATTTGGGACTGATGCGGCTCTGGAACCAGGCTGGCGGGAAGGCTTCTCTTTATAAAGCCTGACATATGAGAACTCATTTTTAAAAGGTAGCTTCAAGTAAAAGTTTTTGAAATTTTATGGATTTTTAGATGAGATTAAAAAGCATCATTTACTCTTTTGTACTTAACCTTCAAAAGTAAGCCTTCTAATTTGTGAGCCATTAAGAGCCCAGTCATAAGAGAAATACTGACAAGGTCTAAATTGAAATAGGAAGAAAATTTCAGTGCACCTACAGTCTTCATTGTTCTCCATCTGGAAGTTTTATGTAAGTGTAACTTATTTTTCCGTAAAACAGGATTCATCTTAGCTTCTGAATATTGCCACCTAGTCAATTATTATAAGTTCTTTAAAATTAATTATTGTCTTTAGCAGCATACTGTAATGTGCATGCTTATAAATCAGAATACTGGTTTTAAATGTTCAATTTTAGTCCACCATTTGACTGATTGGATGATTGTTGTATTTGCCAATGTAGGATTGTATCAGTGATGATAATGGCCAATTTTAGGTGGGATATACTAGCAGGGATTAAAAATAAATGAAGACTTCTGAGCTAAGATGGCAGAAAATTTCCTTTTCTTATCCCATAACTGGGAAGAGTAATGACAACAATAGAAAGAAAAGCCATATCCAGAGGAAAGAGGAGTAATATTATTACTCAAGAATAGTGATAGATTCTTTTTTATTGTTGTTGTTGTTCATAAATGTCATGATTGGGTATCCATGCCATTTTGTGATATGCCTCATACCTTGTTGTAATATTAACATATTACACATCTAGATTGAAAGGAAAAAGAAAACAGGTGACAGAACAGTTCAAACACATGGAGAAACAAAAATGTGGGGAAAACAAAATGACTCCAAAACACCAACCCTCAATTCAGGGGTAGAGAAGCTGAAGTCACAACATAAGCCAAGCCAGGCAGGCCTTATTAGAACAGAATTACTATTCAGCTATAGAAACACAGTTCTCTCAAGACTTGTGTCTACTGCAAGAACTACGTCCAACAATGACTCTTCTGAGTAGCAAGTCAGCACTGGAGAAAAAATTCATTGTGTTACTCATTGTATTTCAAAAGACTACAGTCAAACTTCATCTTCAGAGAGGGTTATTGCATGCATTTAACTAAACTAACACCTTAAATGAGAAAAATATAATCAACTGAAATGATGCCAACATACTGTTCAAGAGTATCAGGCAACTAATTTCCATTTTAAAAAGTCTTCCCATTATGGTGTGATTGTCTCATGACATTAATCTGCTCTTACGAGGCTGAGGCAGAAGGAGTTCTATGAGTTAGAGGCTAACTTGGGCAACAGACTGATACCTTTCTTAGAAGTAATAAATCTACCCAAATTTAATTTTCATAAGTATAACAATACCTATAGTAAACATATATACAAAATTGTAGAATAATGCAGGAAGTTTTAAATGCCCCTGTATGTACAGAAAGACCGCATTTAGTCCCATTAACTTATACATACAATCAATGAGAGTAAAAAGTAGAAATAGAAAATACCCCAGATTCTCCATACTAATGAACAGTATCCCAAAGGTTTTAGTCACTGCAATTAAGTGAGGGTTAAGAAAAAAGTTGAGTGTGTATTTGCAACGTATGGAATAGTACTTGCAAAAAGGTCTGACTATGCTTATCAACCATCTCAGATAATCAAGAATTAGAATGAAGGCAGCAATTCAGCCATGGTAACAACAATCAGGACACTGGTTCTGAACGGGGATATCTGATTGGACAGGAATGAAGCTGAGACTTCTGGGTTTTGTAACTGCTCCAATCTCCAATCGACCTTCCGGACCAAAACCTCTGCATTGCAAAGGCTTCTGCCCCTCCTGCGTTTAGAACGCTATGGCGGGAATGGGGCGGGGTTTCCGGCAGACACAGGATGTCCGTTAACATGAGGACTTTGCCAGCATTCCGGAAGTGTGGGCAGAGGTCGTTCGGTGGGTGACGTCCCCGCAGTGTGTGGTCGTGACCCGACTCAGTCTGTCTCCCAGGTGGGTCCTACGAGTGTACATTGTGGCCTCAGTGAAGGCCTTCAGTGATGTTCATTGTGCCTCCCTGAGAAGTAGTGCCATGGTTATCCAGAGCCTTGTCTTTGCCTGTTTTTTTCCAAACAGCGGTTGAGGCCCTGGGAGATTTTAGGCCTCCAAGCCTGTGCTGACCGGCCACGACCCGCAGATCCCCCATGGAGGAGGAACCAGTGAACCAGGCCCAGAGCTGTGTGAGCTTGGAAGATGTGTGCCTGTATTTCACCGAGGAGGAGTGGGATCTCCTCAGCGACGCTCAGAAGCTCCTGTACCACAACGTGATGCTGGAGAACTTCTCGATTGTACTCTCACTGGGACTTCCCATTTCCAAGCCCTTCTCAGGTACCTCAGTGACAGATGCTAGTAGGGATTTCTGGTTAAACAAGGCTTTAGCAAAGGGGGTGGTTATGGAGGCTTGAGCTTGCTCCTGGATGTTAGTGCGGAGGATGTAGACGGGCTTTGTAAGCAGGACGTTTCTGTGACAGTATCATAGTAGACTCTTAAACAGATCCTTACGCCCAGAAGCCTACCTCTGTAAAATTGCTAGCGATAAAATAAAATTTGCAACCAGTTATACAGCCAGGAGAACCCACTGGGCAATGACCATATAAAATGTCTAATATGTGGGAGACACTTATTAGGTTTGCCGTAGAATAGTAAGACATCCTTTAGAGGGGAAAGGACCAGCCTTCCATTTGTGGAAAGATGTAGTTTCATGCGTTAGAGGAGTTCTGGAAAGACTTCTTGGCCAGTCCCGTACTTGTCCACCATAATGAAACCGTCCAGAAGTCCTACGTGTGAGAGACCTTTTACACATGTGGAGTAATATTCATTCACAAAAATAGATTTATTCAGCATGAGCAGTTCCACAACAACAACAAAAAAAGCCCATGCATGTGTATGGTACAAGAAATTATTTGGGCACACCTCCAGCCTTTTTGTATCCCTTGTCACTATGATGGATATAGGAAACCTTTCTGTGGCTAATACATAACTGCTGGGCTCCTCTGACTTCACAGTGGAGGAAGTTCTCAGGTTTGCAAAAATCCTAGTAAAAGTTTTACCTCTAAAACTTCGATTGTGAAATATGAGAAAAGAAAACCACATTACAGAAATGCATGTAAATGTTTCATGGCAGAGCAAAGCCTTCTGTGTGGTAAATGAAAGAAAACCTGCATCAGTAACCCCACCTCACTTAAAACAAGAAAGGTTATATGGTGAATTCTGAATTACATGACTGGAAAATACTTCAGTGGTCATTTCACAGACTCCTACATCAGAGATACCACAGAGCAGTAAGGACTTACATATTTCACAAATGTCAAAAAGTCTGGACAAGATGTTTCATGCCCTGGAATGGGTTTGCCCCAAGAGATGTTTCTAATGTGCTTACCATGTGAAACTTGAATGGAATAAATACCTCATGAGTGTAGGACTTCTGGTAACCTTTGAGTTTAGTCTCTCAAACCTATTTAATACCAGAGATTTTACAGTGGAGAGAGAGATTTAGAGTTTGGAAAGTATATACTTTGACGTGTCATGAATCACAAGAGAAGTGTTAGTAGTAGTAATAGCTATCCTGAGCCAGGAGCCAGAAGTTGAACTCTGTATGCTTGGTCATGTGCTTAGGGGAGATGTCCTACTTGAGTAGTGTATGTATGTACAATGCTTTCAGGGGGCTCTAGTGTCCCCCCAGGACATGTCATTTTGTCGCCACTTACTGTTTCCTCTTTTTCAGAAACTATTTGACTTCTACCAGCAATCAATTCCACAGTTTACATCAATCACCCCAAAGTACCTAGGGAAGAGAGATTTATGCTTCCTCCTGATGCCCTGGAAGAAATTGGGTGATCTCAATTCACTGCAGGTCCTCATTCCCTCCTTCTGAAGGCTTTGATATATATGTGACACAGCTTCTGAAAGATATCTTTGATCTGGGATCTCCTGCACATTTCTAGAGGTTTTCATCTTCGTGGTTTCTTGACTTTGTGTGTGCTGGGATGGATTTCTTCAGGCTCCAAACCATCCAGCCTTGGAACTTCCTGACCTTCTTTGATCTGGTTGATGCAGTGACTTAATACAATTATATGTTTCCTGCCTAATAGTGTTCTTTTCAGTATTTGAGATTGACTTAGGAAAGGAATTAATCTTTTCCACCATGCAGGAAGGGACTCCTTTTGTGGGGACCTCAAACTTTATACATCTTAGAACAGCAAGGTGGCAGACAATAGTAGAACATCTAATTTGGCCTGATTGGCAATGTTGCCTAAGCCTTCTTAGGGAAAAGTTGTGGGAATTGGTAAGACTAATCTTGTGACCTGGCTGCTGGCATTCAGACTCTCCATAAGCTCTTCTGAGTTCAGTCTAAGAGGAGATAGTTAGTATAGCAATATCTAAACCTTTAGTCCCTTTATTTAGGGACTATTGAACGTTCCCTGTCTTAGTGTTCTGCTCATGTGAAGAGACACCACGATCATGGCAACTCTTATAACGGAAAGCATTTAATTGAAACTTGCTTACATTCAGATGTTTAGTCCATTATTATGGCAAAAAGCATGACAGCATGTGGTCAGACATAGTAGTGAAGAGGTAGCTGAGACTTCTACATCTCAATCATTGGGTAGCAAGAAGAGAGACACTGGGTATGACTTGAGCGTTTGAAACCCCAAAGCTCACCCTCAGTGACATACTTCCCCTAGTAGACCACACCTACTCCAGCAAGGCCATACCTCCCAATCCCTCTCAAGTAGCGCCACTCCCTAATGACCAAGTATTCAAACACATCAGCCTATGGGGCCATTCCTATTCAAATCACACATTTCCTCAACACTTGAAAAGTAGTCTTAAACCTGTCCAGAATTCATGAGTTCCGACATCCCAAAACTGATGCCTAAACCCTACAGTGCTTATGTGGGAAATTTAATTCACATAGTCCTTTTTGAAATATAGAATTTTGTCATTTTTACAGTTTTTTAAGAAAAATTAAAAATTCTATTTTTGCCGGGCAGTGGTGGCGCACGCCTTTAATCCCAGCACTCGGGAGGCAGAGGCAGGCAGATCTCTGTGAGTTTGAGGCCAGGCTGGACAGATAGCCTCCAAAACAATATAGAGAAACCCTGTCTTGTAAAAACAAAAAACAAAACAAAATTCTACTTTTTTTCCTTTAAGAAGTTTAAGCCTAGAGACTGGAGAGATTGCTCAGTGGCTAAGAGTGGGCAGAAGTTTAAAGTTCAGTTCCCAACATTCATGTTGGATGACTCACAACAGGCTATAGCTTCAGCTAAAGGATATTTATCCCAATTTGGAATCCCTTGAGCACCACACTTAAGTTCACATTGCCACACAGAGACACTTATGTTCACAGTAAAATAAACCCTTTTAAAAATCAAGTCATAACACCTAATATTGGCTAACTCTGGGAAATGTTTTACTTGGAAATTCTAAACTAGAATTGGCTATATCTTTAGGGGAAAAAGCTTTCAAAAATGTAACTAAAAAAATACTGAGATTTTTGCCGGGCGGTGGTGGCGCAAGCCTTTAATCCCAGTACTCGGGAGGCAGAGGCAGGTGGATCTCTGTGAGTTTGAGACCAAGTCTGGTCTACCGAGGGAGTTCCAGGACAGGCTCCAAAAACAATACAGAGAAACCCTGTCTCGAAAAACCAAAAAAGAAAACAAACAAACAAAAAAAACCCACCCAGATTTTCATAAAAGGTTGAAGGGAGTATAGCTCAGTAGTAGATTGCTTGTTTCATATGCATACATGACTCTGCATTCAATCATCAGTATTAAAAAACAAAAATGTAGAGAGAAATATAGTGTAGAAGTACTATGCATAGAAGGTAGTGGTATGCGACATACCACTGTGGTCACTGTCAGAGCTGTTGACACTGTACTTGCCACTGCAGAGGCAGAAATCCTAGAACAGAATAAAATCGACTCCGCACTGGATCTTTAGTTATTCAGCCAGTGTGTAAGTGAGCATGACCTTCTTTGCTTTCCTACGTTTACTACCTTGGAACCATAGCTGATCTTCTCAATATTTAGTAGTAGAGGACAGTTAATATATGGTTGGTTGGTTTTCCAAACTGTAAGTCATATTTTATGTAAACAATTTTATCTCAACAATTGTGGGTAAAAATGGGGTGCTGTATACTTTTGAATTATACAACTTGAAAAAAGTCTTGAAAAACATGTCTTAGTCATTGTTCTATGACTATTGCTATGAACAGACACCATAACCAAGTCAACTCTTACAAAAGAAAGGATTTAATTGGGGCCTTGCTTGTAGTTTTAGAGGTTTAGTCCATTGACATCACGACAGCAAGCTTGACAAGGGAGCAGTAACTGAGAGCTACATCCTGATCTGCAGCCTGAAAACAGGGAGAATGGGGCTTGGCATGACCTTTTGAAACCTCAAAAGTCTACATCCAGTGACACACTTCCTCCAACAAAGCCAGACCTCTTAACCCTTTCATACAGTGTCACTTTCTGATGCTAAGCATTCAAATATATAGCCTTTGGGGGTTATTCTTGCTCAAACCGCCACAAAGATTTAACAAGTATACACATTTTATGCTATTACTACAATTCAGGTAATGGGCATATCATCACCCCCATTATGCTATTATTCCTGGGTGAGTCCTCCTTGCCCCTCCTGCTGGGCATGGTCTACAAAAAAGGAGACTCTGTCCACTTTGAGAAGGGATCCACTTTATGGTGGGTCCATAGCCCGTTTCTACCAGTGACATACAATGACAGCCTTTTTGGGACCCTTTAGGAAATGTTCTCTCCATTTGAAAAGGAGAAACTTTAAGAGAGGTGGTCTTGTTTCTGCCGTAAGTTGGTGGTCTCCGGGTGACACTTGACATCTTTGTACCATCATATTACCACTGTAGAGGAGATAGTCTGTGGGCAAAGCTGCTATCCAAGAGCCTGATGCCTTAGTGGTGACTTAGTGTCCGATTTCAGAAATCCTGGGGCCGGGTGTTGGCGGCACACACCTTTAATCCCAGAGGCAGAGGCAGAGGCAGAGGCAGAGGCAGAGGCAGAGGCAGAGGCAGAGGCAGGCGGATCTCTGTGAGTTCGAGGCCAGCCTGGTCTACAGAGCGAGTTCCAGGACAGCATCCAAAACGATAGAGAGAAACCCTGTCTCGAAAAAACAAAAAACCCTGGGAATGCTTCCTGTCACACACTTGTTATATGAGAAATATTCCTATTGTTAATGTCAACATGAGTTAGAATTTTCTAATACTGGTGTCATGAAATAAGCCATATTAAAGCAAGAAGTAATAAGATTCTGAATTAGATCTGAAACTGAAGGAGAGTGGTGAACAAATATCAGATCCAGACCCAGATTGACTGAGGTAGAATTGGTGAGATCACATAGTTAGCTGAATACCAGTGGTAAGGGGGAAAAAAATCTGAGGTTCTAGGACTCTTTGGTTTCCTTGAGATGAAGAGGTAAAAAAAAAACAAAAACAAACAAACAAACAAAAAAAAACAGAACGTAAAGTACAAGCGGTGAGAGCATTTGGTAAGGAAGTTGACTTCTTAGTTAGAATTTGGTTGTAAGTTAGCCAGAATACATGCATTTGTTTTGAGCATGTGAAAATGTCTACAAAGTTTAGAGTTGGCGTGCTTTAAGAATTGAGGCCAGGGACTGGAGGGATGTTTCAGTGGGTGAGAGTGATTTACAAAAAAGCATGAGGACCTGAGTTTAATTCTCTAGCAGCCCTGTAAAAATCAAGGTATGGACCACTTTGGAAATCAGTATGGAGATTCCTCAGGAAAATGGGAATCAGTCTACCACAAGATCCAGCAATTCCACTCTTAAGCATATACCCAAAAGACACACATTCATACAATAAGGACATCTGTTCAATCATGTTCATAGCAGCATTATTTGTAATAGCCAGAACCTGGAAGCAACCTAGATGCCCCTCAACTGATGAATGGATGGAGAAAATGTGGTACATTTACACAATGGAATACTTTTCAGTGGAAAAAAAAACAATGGAATCTTGAAATTTGCAGGCTAATGGATGGCACTAGATGAAACCATCCTGAGTTAGGTAACCCAGTCACAAAAAGACAAACATGGTATGTACTCACTCATATATGAATTTTAGACATAGATCTGGGGAGTGCCAGCCTACAATCCACACCGCCAGAGAAGCTAGGAAACAAGGAGGACTCTAAGACATACATGGTCCCCTGGAGAAGGGGAAAGGGACACGGTCTCTTGAGAAAATTGGGAATTTTGGGGGAGGGGAGAGGGAGCTAGGAGAAAGAGAAGGGGAGAAGAGGAGGGGAGAGGAGTACATGAGGGACAGGAAGGTTGAATTGGGGGAAGAATAGAGGAGAGCAAGATAGGAGATACTATAATAGAGAAATCTGGCACTAGGGAAATGTCCAGAGATCAACAAGGATGAAATCAACTAACTAAGCAATAGTGGAAAGGTTGCCTTAAATGCCCTTCCCTAATAATGAGATTGACGACTACCTTGTGTGCTATCCTAGAGCCTTCATCCAGCAGCTGATGGAAGCACTGAACTGAACTCCTGGAATCCAGTTACAGAGAGGGAGGAGTGATGAGCAAAGGGGTCAAGACCAGACTTGTGAAATCCACAGAAACAGCTGACCTGAACAAGGGGAAGTTCATGGACTCCAGACTGATAGCTGGGAAACCAGCATAGGACTGATCAAAACCCCCTGAACGTGGGGGTCAGTGAGGAGGCCTCGGCAATCTATGGGGCCTCTGGTAGTAGATCAGTATTTATCACTAACATATGAATGGACTTTGGGAGCCCATTCCACGTAGAGGGATACTCTCTCAGTCTAGACACACAGGGAGTGCGGGGGGGGGGGGGGGGTTGGGGAGGCCTAGGCCCTGATCCAAGTGATAGGACAGACTGAAGATTCCCCCATGGAAGGCTTCACCCTCCCTGGGGAACAGAAAGGGGGTGGAATAGGGGGCTAGTGGGGGGCAGGGGAGGAGGGGAGGGAGAGGGAACTTGGATTGATGGGTGAAACAAGCTTGTTTCTAATTTAAATAAAAAAATAGAAACAAAACTAGGTAGGGCCATGTATACCTGTAACCC